CAGCATATTGATGGATTATGTTTTCTTATCTATTCTCCAACTCTCTGTCTCTTGAGTGGTGCGTTTAATCCATTGACATTCAGTGTAATTATCAACAAATATGAATTTGTTGCTGTCATTTTATTATGTAATTATTTGTGGTGTTCCTCGTTCTTTGTTCCATGTGATTTTCTGGCTGAGTTCATTTTATGAATCATGTTATCCTTTCCTTCGTTGTTACTGTTTTAGTATTTGCTAAATATTTGTGCTTGTCCATTTTTTTATTGTTATGTGAAGTTTTATTGGTTTTTGTTGTTGTTGTTGTTGTTGAAGTTACCTGGTGATTTATAATTTTCTCCCCAAGTTTAGAACAGTCCATTCTATCTTGCAACTAACTCTCTTGACTTCCCTACCATTTAGAAGTTCTGTAAACTACACTATTTTCTCTCTCTTTTTGGTTTGTAGTTGTCCTCTTTTGCCAATTGATGTCTATGGTTCCCTGTTTGCAATCTTGTAAGCTTATTTTACCCCAGATACTTCTTTAACTGGATTGGTTTCTGAGTTATGTTCTTGTTTGCTGTCATTTGTTCTCTGTATATAGCACTCCCTGTAGCATCTCTTGTAAGATTGTTCTGGTTTTAACAAATTCTCTTAATTTCTGCTTATCTGGAAATGTCCTAATTTCACCATCATACTTGAGGACAATTTTGCTGGGTATATAAGTCTTGGTTCGAAATTTTTCTCTTTATACATGCCACCCCGTTGCCTTCTCACCTGCATTGTTTCTGCCAGGAAATCAGAGCTTAGTCTTATTGGTTGCCCTTTGTGAGTAACTTTTTGTTTTTCCTGTGCTGCTTTCAGGATTCTTTCTTTGTTTTTAGTTCTGGTGAGTTTGATGATGGTATGTCTTGGTGATTTTCTTTTTGAGTCTATCCTGTTTTTCATTAAACTTCTTGAATGGATATATTCTTATCTTTGATCATCTCATCATATCAGGGAAATTTTCTTCCAACAAATCTTTGACTATTTTCTCTGTGATTTTATTGGTCTCTTCCTATTCTGCAAGGCTGATTACATATAGGTTATTCCTCTTGATGGTATCCCACATGAATAGTATCCCACATGAAGGCTGGTGGCTTTCTTCATTTTGTTTTGATCTTTTTTCTGACTGATCCTTTTCCAAGTATTGGGGGTATTTGTCTTCAATCTCAAATAATCTCACTAATTCTGTGTTTCACTTATTCACTTCCATTCCTTTACCCATTCAATGTGTTACCCATTTCTGAAAATGTAGTACTAAACTTCTGGACTTCTACCTGTAAATTTTATATTGTTGTTAATTTTTCATTTATTTTGTCATTTTGTTCTTGAATTTTCTTCTGAAATTGTTCTAGATTTTTGTCTATTGTCTTTAATTTTGTCAGTATTTTCCTTGATCTGTCTCTCAGTCCATCAAAGGTACCTAAATATAATTCTTTTGAATTCCTTATCAGGGAGTTCCAATGCTATTTCTTTCTCAGGGTTGTGTTCTGGGTCTGTATTCTGGTCTTTTGTTTCTACTGATTTATTTTGCTTCTTTGTGTGGACTGTGATGGTCTGTTGTCTCCAAGATATTGTGATGTTGTTGTGTGTATATAATATTGGTGATTGTATGTTGGAATGATTCTCTCAAGATTTCTTTTTCTTTCTTTTTTTTTTTTTTTTGGATGTATCTGAGTAAGCAGAGTGCTGTTCTCTTCTACTTGGTAGTTGGAAGCACTTATACATTCACCACCTGTCTCCTGGTGCATGTGATAGAGAATGAGAGTGGGTGCAGAGATCTAAGTTAACTGTTTGTGAAGAGCAGTTAAAGGTGAGTCAGGCTCATATTGGCTGTCATGTATCCTCAGCCATTTGGTCCAGAGCCAAGTTGTGGTTCACACTCAGTAAGTGGAGATGCAGGAGGTGCAGGTGTGGTTGGGTTGTAGAGCCATGGTTGCTCTCTCCCACTTAGACAAAACAACAATGAAAAACCATCAAAACAGTAAATGCAAGAGAACAAAAAAGAAAAAGAAAAACACAGCATTAAACACAGGAACAATCACCAAAAAGAGAAAAATGAAGGAAAAAAAAAAAAAGAGGAAAGACAGTGAATGAGAGAAAATATTTAAAGAAATACTTTTAAAAAGCAAAAGAAATGTGAATAGAAAAAGAAGGGGGGGGGACCCTGCAATATCTGGGGAGGAGAGTGTAAGAGAAAAGAGGTAGAGTAAGAGAATAATGAAGGGAAAAAATGGGGAATATGGAAAAAGAAAAACAAGCAATGGAGAGAAGCACAAGAAAGTAAAAGTGGAAACCAGGAAAAGAGAAAAAGCCAAAAACTAGAACCTGGGAATGGAAGAAGGAAGAATAGTAATAAAAAGGATGAAAAAATAATAATAATTTTAAAACAGACAAAAACAAAATCTGGGCAGGGCAGGGCACCCAGGCTCTTTCAGAGCACACAGACTGGGATGGAATTCCTGCTGGCCCAGAAAGTAGGTGGGAGTGAGGGATGGCCACACCTCTGTTCATCAGGACGGTGTGGAGTATAAAACTAACAAGGGTAATGTCACACTTTTCCAGGTCTTGGTGTCCGGAATGTCCTTGTGTTCCCTGACAAGTGGAACCTATTCTTAGGTCCCTGGAATCAGAGAATGCCGGCGCTTTAAGTATCCAAAATGGTCGAACTGCTTGTAAACATTCAACACGGCCACGCCCTCTGGACGGTCAAAAGTCCACAGCTCAGCGTATCTCCCTCTTCACTGCTTCCCCCTTTATTCACCAGCCACCAGTGCAGTCCTCTGTGCAGCTCCTGGCTAGCAGGGCCAACTTTTAGGTTAATTCTTAGGTCCTAACACCACTTGGCAATATCAAAACTGTCCATGCTGTCAGCATTGCTAACAGTCTGCAGCTCTATATGTCTCCTTTTTCAGTGTTTTCGTGCAGTTTCTTCTACTAGTTGGAGTTTAGTCCATGGAATGCTTTCTCTTTGTATATTTCAGTCTGTGGGCATATGCATTTTATGGTTTCATGTATAGTGTATATACTAATTAGGAATTGTTCACTAAATACTACCAAGTTTCCATATAATCATATTTTTTAATGGTTGTGATACATGTCACAGTGTTGCTATATTGTGATTAAACTATTCATTGAAAGTTTAAGATCATGATGATGATTGCTAGCTATTATAAGTAGAGCTGCAGTTACGTAAGCTTCCATGCATAGAGGGTTATGATTTTCATATTTCATTGTTTGGTTTTGTTTTCACTTCTGTTGAATCATTTTTCTTGTATTAGTCATTTCCCAAGGGAGGGATTATGAACCTCATTTCATCTTGCTACATATTTACCTTAGAATGTTGTCCTATACTGGTAGCACTTCATAATTTTGAAAACACTTTGCTATATATATTATTTGAAACTTACAGTCAGCCATCTTTGAGATAGGGCAAGTATCCCATTTTAGAGGCAATGGACTTTGCAATGCTGCCAAAGGCAGACATCTGCAATTGCTTTCTCATTACTTATAGACCAAACTTTTCAGGAAAAGTGGGGTTTGGGGAGGAGAAGCTCACTCAGTCCTTACAAGGGCTATTAACCAAGAAGATTCATAAGCTTAAAATTGCTCAGTAAAAGACTTCCAAGAACCAGAAATAAGTTTGCTAAGGCAAACTGCTCGAAACCCAGGCCAAGACCAAGAGGACATTATTCTTTACCTTTGCATTTCCCACAATGCCACAACTTTTACTGGCTGTTCTTTTTACTCTGCAATTCCAATAACTTTTTTTTTCCCCCAAGTGTTTTTGCCAGGTATGCTATATCCCTATTCTACAAATGAGAACACTAGCTCATTCAGTAGGGTTAAGTAACTTAGTGTGGTGTGTAAATGACATGGTATTGCTTTTCTAGCCATAGACTTTGTAACTCCCACTTTGTCATGAGCAACTGTTTATCTGATTGTTAAGTTATCCACCTGGTGTATTTCTGTTGGAGCAGCATGAAGCAATCTTCTGGAAAGTTCACTCTCTCTCAGGTGTATAGAATTCTGATGTTGGGATTGGTTAGTTTTGCCATTCTGCCAGGGTCAAAATAAGCCCTCCTAGAGCTCTAGTGGTATAGTGCCTAAGGCATTTGACTGCTAACCAGAAGGCTGGTGGTTTCAAACCCACCAGCCACTCCCCATAAAGAAGACTGGGCAATCTACTTCTGTAAAGATTTATGCTCGGAAACCCAAAGAGGGTAGCTATGAGACGGAATGGATTCCATGGCAGTGAGTTTTGAGTTTTTTTTTTTTTTTTAAACCCAGTAATAAAATCTGACAGGAGCTCTGGCAGCATAGTGCCTAAGGCACTTGACTACTAACCAGAAGGCTAGTAGTTCAAACCCACCAGTCACTCCTCCAAAGGAAGGTTGGGCACTCTACTTCTGCAGTGATACCGCCTCGGAAACCCAAGGAGGAGTTGCTATGAGTTGGGTCTGACTCGGGCTGACTCGTTGGCACATAACAACAACAAATACAATGCAACGAGCACCACAGCAGATTCCCAAGGTCAACTTGCTCAAGGTCACATAACTGAGAAGTAGTGGAGCAGAGATGTAAGCAGAGGCAGTCACACCCCAGAGCTAACACTCCAGGCAACGTTGAAAGCTAAGCGAATTGAACTACATCATTGGAAACAAAGGCTTTTACCCTGTGCCCAGCAATTAAGGGACCCTCTCGCCCAACCCCGCAAGCCTTTGGGACTACATTTCCCAGCGTCCGTAGAACACCGCGAACCTCTCCCAGAGCCGCTTTCCAGCATCTAGACTACATTTCCCGTGGGCTCTGTCGGCCCTGCCCTGATTTCCCCCGCCTCCCTTGGACGCGCCACCTTGGTCTGGACTTCACTTCCCTGCACGCCCACGGCTGGGCCAGGCAGGGCAAGGCAAGGCAAGGCACCGCGGCCCGCGGGGCGGGGCGGGGCGGCGGGCGGCCTGGGGCTGGGGAGGCCGCCGCCTCCGCGATGCCGCTGCTCGTGGAGGGGCGGCGAGTGCGGCTGCCGCAGTCGGCCGGGGACCTCGTCCGAGCCCACCCGCCTCTGGAGGTGAGCGGGGACCGCGGTGCGGGGGCTTCGAGGTGGGCCCGAGGGCAACCCCGTGGGCGGGCTGGACCTTTCTCATGCTATCGCCACCACCCCGCACTCCCCCGAAACAAATTTGAAACTTGGCGTAGCCCAGGAGTTGTTGGCATATGTCGGAGCCCCGGCCGCTGGCGATGACTTTCAGTTTTCACGTGAGGAGCCCGTGGAGCTTATACCTTCTTTAGATTGTAGAGGACTTCTGCTGAGTCCCCTCGTTTACGGAGGAGGTGGAAGCCCAGAGAGATTAGGTGACTTGCCCGAGGTCCCGCAGCACCAAGGCTTGAGAACACCTCTGGACCCCTGATCTGGACTTGGCAAATCAGGGTACCCGACCTTGCCCAATAGCACTCTCAGGAAATCCCCACTTTGTGGTGAACACTGCATCGTTGCGCGTCAGGAAGCAGCAGATGATTGCACTGTGGGCTTCGGACTACGTGGGGCACCGATATCCTGGAGGCCCCCTCAGCCTCTGCCTTGGGCGCAGGGCCCCAGGTTTCTTTTTTGTTTCTTTGTTTGTTTTTAGCCAGGAAGGTCTTCCTCTCCCCAGTTGGGCTTTAGACAGGACCACGCCCTAATGGAAAGGGGTTTTTTGTGTGTTTTTGTTTTTGTCTTTTACCTTTGTCCTCAACTAGGTATCTGAACCTTTGGGATTCGGTTCACGTGCTTATTATGTAAGGAGTGTTTGTAAGAGGGTGGGTGCATGGTGTAAAAAAATAGGGACCAAACATCCCACTTGTCACAGATCCATTTACGGGGGGAATCAAGCCCCACTCACTGATTTAGAAATTTGTGTTGAGGCTCTAATGCATGCTGGGCACTGCCCCTTCTTAAGGCATTTACAGCCAGTACTTGTTAGTTGCCATCCAGTTGATTGCACTCATTGTGACCCATGTGTGCAGAGTGAACTGCTCCATACCGCCGTGGGGAGGATCACCAGGCCTTTCTTCCGCAGTGCCTGGGGTGAGTTCAAACCACTGACTTTTCCTCTAGTAGGCACTTAACCAGTTGCACTTCTTAGGGTCCCCCAGTCAGTGGAGGGCATTTTGTTTTTAAGTTAAAGAGTGGCTCAAATATCTCAAATTATTAAGTGTTATAAAGAAAAAAAAAAAACCCTTTTCCCTCTGAGATTGAAACAGAGGAACTGACCTGTTCTGAGGGGAGTTAGAAAAGGCATTCTCTCCTCTCCACACGCACACACACCCCCTTTTTTTTTTTTTAATTGACTTTTATTGTGGTGAAAACATACACACCAAGACATTCACCAGCGTAACAACTTCCACATTTACAGCTCAGGGACATTGATGACATTTTTTCATGTTGTGTCACCATCACTGCTATCGGGAAAGATATTGTTAATGTGTCCTCTGAAACAGTTGCAGAGTTTGTAATTATTTTGTCTGCCTACTTGATTTCCTTATTCTGCCTTTGATCTATCTTCCAGAATGTAAATTTACTGAAGGCAGATTGAAATACCTGTCTTTGCCTTTGTACCTCAGAGCCTAGAGCAACCCCTGGCATAGAGTTGGTGCTCAGTAAATATTTGTTACATTAACCAGTGAAGGAAATGATCCCTGAACTACGATCTGAAGGATGACGGGAAGTTACTGACAAGAAGCAGCTCTGTGTGATTCTCAGCTTGCATTTCATAGACTAACAGTAGTAATGCTAGCCAGCACTTACTGGGCACTTTGGAAACACTTGGCATCATGGGAAGCACTTTCCTTCTACTCTGTCACTGTCATACCATTGTCCAGTGAAGCCAGGAGCAGTACTCACCAAGGAAAAAAATTCAACTTCCTAACGAATTTGGATGACTCTTTGCTTTTATGTATGTTTAGAAATTTCCGTAACAAAAAGTTAAAAAGATTAGTGTCCAAGGCACTACATACATACGTACATCCGAGAGAGGATGTATGGTGATATACAAGGGCAGCTCCTTTTGAAGGGAGATTATGGCCTATTTAAGGAGACTGCCACTTTCTCCCACTGAGCAGCTGGTGGGTTGAAAGCACCACCCTTTTGGTTAGCAGCCAAGTTTTTAACCATTGCACCACCAGGGCTCCCTTAGCTGTGCCTGGCATACAATGACAACAACAGTAGTACTTAGTGGTACTTGCCAATACCACAGCCCTATGAAGAAGGTGCTATCACTATTCCCATTTTACAGATGAGGATTCTTAGGCACAGAGAGGTTGAGTAATTTGTCCATGGTCACACACCCTGTAAGTGGTGAGGCTAGGATCAAAACCTGGCATTCTGCCCTTGACTATTTTCTT